CCCATAATTTGCATTTTACGTACTTCAAACTAGATCTGAGCCCAACCTTGCTTCTCATTCTTCCTCCCGAAGTAGCGATCAAAATCAAACTTGCCCGAATTTGCAATGGAAATATCTTTTTATTTCCCCTTTGAGCTTTCAAGGGGACGCCGGTTCATCAATTGCTTAAAGATATTAAACTTCCTGCCCATTGCGTTACGGAATTTTTTAAAGTAGTCGCGAGATCTCTGGGCAAAAAAAATGTACAAAGTTACATTCTATAGAAACATATTATACAAATCAAACCCAAAGTTGTTACGCAATTTTAACATGTGATTTCATTTAATTCTATTTTAGTATTCGAACAAACACAAAGTAAACAAAACTCACAATAGCCATGGCTTTAAAAGTCAAGTAAAGGTCAAATTTCGTTACAATCTTAGGAAATTTACATACTACTGCATCACAAACGATCTCAATGACCATGTATAGGTGTTTGCACTGCTAATCCATAATGGCATCTACATAATACGATATACGTATTGCTATTGTTCTCAAGAATTCCTGCCTTCTTTTAATTTTTGATTTGATTTTTTAAACGGATAAAAATATCTTATAGTATGTTAATACAGAATTCAGTGAAACAACTGTGTAATTTATTACGATTGAATTCCATGGATTAGAAGTTTTTGCGAGTGACCCCAATTCTTTTTCTAAAATAAAAATAAGACTAAGTTACTCCTTATAACATCAGCTATCTGCCAGTGAAAATTCTGACGAAATTGGTTTAGCCACTTCGGAGATAAGCCGGAGCAAACAGAAAAACAGACACAAAATTTTTTAATTTTTTTTGTTTTACAAATATTTTAAACAACTGAGCCCCGCGGTTTCACCCGCGTATATCACGTGTCTGCGCTGAGCGACATGACATGACACATCGCTCATTTAGTTCAATCATTTTAGCTAAAAAATTGGCAAAATTAATGTAGTACTTTTATCTATTGGCATATGTACGTTATACAGCAAAGTTAAATTTATCCACTTTCTCTTCTCTCCCCCTCTCGGATGAACGCCCCAGAAAGTGCCACAAAACGCGTTTTTTTTTTCAATTTAAAAAATGATCTTTGATGAATTTTCTATCAACCTTTTATGCATACGAAAGCGATTTCATTTATACGTACGTATGATGTTGCGCAATCTGCCACAAAATATGAATATTTCTTATCTTTAATCAATTTTTTTTGTTCAAAGTCTTTATTTCTTATTATTTTTTACTTATCTTTTTATTTGTTATTATTTTTTTTATTTTTTTATTTTGATTATTTTATTTTTATTAGAAATATTATTATATTATTTGTAAAAAGATAATAAATTTATTTATTATCTTAAAAAATAAAACAAAACATAAATTTATTAGTTCCGAACTTCCCTGTAAACTATATTTTTGATGTTGTTTTATTTTGTGGTAGCAAAATATCCTCGGTATATGAGGTAGTTGACCAGCTGATAGGCCGATGTTGATGGTCACTACAGTAAAATTTTCCTTTAATTCCTTAATAAGTAGCCTCTTCTCATTGCACATGCTCGGGGAGCTTTGCATATTTTAGCATGAAAAAGTAGTTATTGTGACATAACTGTAATAGTTAGATATGGTATCGCGGACTTTTTTATAGATATTGATATCTTCTATAAAACTGTAGTACATCACTTTGCTCTATTGTCAATAGTTTCCACAGCGTATGCGATATAAGGATTCTTTTGGTATTTTTTTTTCATGCCGTGGGTTACATTAACGAAGTTTTCGCATGGATCGCTATTTTCTTGAAAATATACTTTAGCCTATGTTCATCAGGGATAATGTAGGATTCCAATGTTGAAAGAATTTTTCAAATCGGTCCAGTAGTTTTGGAGCCTATTCAATTCAAACAAACAAATTTTTCCTCTTTATAATGTAAGTGTAGATGTCCACAATATTTTGGAGAGATTTGACCTCAACTATTTGGTAGGACTAAGAATTTTAGGTGTCACCTAGCAAGTGAATTGTTGAGCTTTTATCTGAAGGGTAAAGGGGATGATTTTAGGATAAGATTTTATTTATCTGTAATCGTTGGCAAGTATTTATAATATTGGTCACGGTAGTTTTTTATACTCAAGTGGACAGTTAGATCTTTCAAATTTTAATGTTGATATTTAATATTTTAAAACACGAGTTAGACTACTAAAGTATCAGTCATTATTAACTGGACCAGCATAGCGCATTATTTCTTGCTCCGTAAACCTCGCATAAACGTAGAAAGATGTGTACCTACGTACGTTAAAACTAGGTAGTAAAATACATTCTTTTAGACAATATATAAAACCTTTTAGTTTTTCGATACAGCTATTTAGATTCTTGTTACATTATCACGTACTGCATTCATTGGCTTAACACCTAATTTTTACGGTCTAATTTGATTTGTTATTAATTTTATTAACTATTAGATATAAGATATTGTAATGAATTCAGAGCTCTTTCCAATTGGCATTACTCACTGGCATTGCGAAGAGATGTTGCATCTCTTTGCGTTTTTTATCGAATATACCACGGGGAGTGCTCTGAGTGAGTCTTCGGACTTATTCCAGCCGCACAATTTCACCATCGCACATCGCGACTACTCGTGATACCATCCATACTATCTGGATGACTGGCGGTCTACTACTGTGCGATTTAAAAGAAGATTTCTTCCTCATACAACTTCCTTGTGCAATCAATTACCACCAGAGTTTTTTACGGACTGATAAGTCTTAGTCACTTTCAAGAAAAAAAGCCTACTCTATTTAAAAATCTTGCAACACATCCGTGATTCCCCTGATGTTGCAGTTGTACGTGGGCGGCGATAATCACCTACCATCAGGTGAGCCATATGCTCGTTTGCCCGATCTCCTATAAAAAAAAACTGTTGACAAAGATTTTGAAATTTAAAGTCTCATAATTTATATTAAATCCATAAGCGTTAATATATTATCAACGTTTATTGCTATTATATTTTGAAGCTGATGTAAATATATCTTGTCAGGAAACCAATTTATCTATTATATTATGTATTATTTCCAATTAATTTTTACGGGAGAAAAAGAATAGGCTCAAAATTCCTTACCTATATATCATTAAGTTAAAGAAAAGTTTATCAAATTTTATATTTGTGTATTTTGATATTGGATATACGTACATAATATTATGTAAGTAGTACCTACTAACACCTAGTTCGTTATAATAAAATTTTTGACAGATCCAATATCGCTTGTGACAGCGCTCGCGGTTCGAATATTTTGGTTGACATTAATTTCATATGATAGAATACGAGAAAGTGCTCTCATCTAAGTTATTTGGGATTTACTTTACATATTTTAATATTAAGCTGCATAAGAATACATATTTAGGAACACACGTTGGGTTATCAAATAACTTTTTACAACTTTCATAAGTGTAATGTTTAAATAGTTTTCATGAAGTATTAGCGTAAGAGAATATACTACCACGTTAGGAATTTACTAATTTTGTTGTTACGAATTTATAACCCGTGGGTAGTGGCGATAAAGGGAAATTGAAATAAAAGATGGGCAGTGGCATCTTGCTGATGATAACTTAAAATAATAAAAAGCTGCTCTTGCCAACCCGCTTGCCAAGTGTGGCAACTATGGTAAATTACCATACTATCAGAAGATGGCATTTTATCTGACGGTGGTCCTGGCGTGGAAGATTCTACTTAAATCGGTGGCTTGAAAAAAAATCAATTACTTCTGTTACCTAAAATGTTCATCAATTTAAACCATGCAAGCTCTCAAACGAAACCCTGAGAAAACAACTCCGTTGAGTCACCTGCGAGTTCCAACACAGCGATTTCCCCTTTTGAAGTGAGGCAATCTTTTTGGGAGGATTATGTTCTACAGTAAACTTGTCGGCTATAATAAATGCACGAATGAAGCCTTCAATTATTTAATAATACAATTAAATGTGTATCGGTAGTGTTCTATAATGTTAGTAATTTAAGTTACACGCAAAAACAAAACTTTAAATCGCAGTAGCAAAGAAATTGAATGCTCGCCTTAAAATTTGTTCGTATACGATCAACCCGAGGTCTATCCTCACTAAAACAAGCTTTAAATTAACCATTTACTTGGTGGTAAATAATAAATATATTCTGGTTAAACTTCCAAAGTTTTAGAAATAAATTAAAAATATTTTGAGGTCATGTGAATTCCGCCATTTCGCGTAACAGATGAGTAGGAGACTAATTTCTTTTTCTTTAGCTCTCTTAGAAAAGCGATAGCACTATGGTACATTACACTTGTAAGGAACACTTCAAGCATATCCAATTATTTTCAAATACTTAATTGGAATAGAAGTAAGAGTTAAATTAAAATGGGAACAAATGTATGTAATGTATTGATACCTTACAATAAAAAACCTACATGTTAAGGAATCTAAGTAAGCTTAACCTCAATTCAATATATTTAATACAAAGAATAGGGCGGAGTCGGGATCAGGGGTTCCACTGTGAATTTTGGCTAATGTGTGAGGGAGACGGGCTTGGGGGTTAGAAGCAGAATGGGTGAAAAGGAGCCTATATCCGACGTGCGCATTACGAAAATCACTTATTTTGCCTTCCGTATTAAAACACATAATAAAAAATTTATCAAAATCAAAATCACTTTTAAAACTAGCACTTTATTATGAATAATATCTCACTTAAAACGAATGTAAAAAATGAATTAACATAAGTTTAGAGTTTTTGTTGCAGCGTGCGTTAAGCCATTGGGTAAGAGCGAGTCAGATGCGAGGGTGGGCCACCCCTCCCCGTACCCCATGCCCCCGTACCGCCTCGCCAGCAGTCGCTAAGTCTCAGGTTTGCGCACAACATCCCAACACTTAATCGTTCACGTTACTTACAGTTATCGCTCAATTCACTTCCATTACGAAGATTCTAGCATGTAACAGAAGTTTTCAATTAACTTAAACATAGTCCTGAGTGACCGCTAAGATGGCAATAAAGAAAAGATCGCCTTTGATTCCTACCGGCTTGTTACTGTTATACGTCGGGGTGTTGTCAGCACAGACTTTTCCGGTAGAGAAGATTGCGGTTGGTAAGTTAAATTTTATTATATGCATGTTACGTGTTGTATGCTTACTATTAATTTTGGGCGACGCAAATATACTTTAAGTAGTTGGGCGGCATAATAGCTATAGTTGTTTGGTATAATGTATTGCAATGATATTTTTTAAATATCGTATTGCTTTTTGGGTTAAAAGGTTCGATCAATTCTAGTTCTTTTTGTTGTCTATATTAAAATAATGTCTTCTAATTACGATACAATTTAAATACTAGTACTATTTGTCAATGTTTTGTTACGTACTCGCTCCAACAAATGGCGTTCTCTCTCTCAGTATTTGTAATATCGATTTTCTCTTTCTTCCTTAATACAATTGTCTCTGTTACGCTCACCCGCTACGTGATAAGCTACGATGCTACGAGTGTTGTAATGTGCGTTTTAATGAATAGCTTAAATAATATTGTAGGATAAAATGTACCATCATTAACAAAATAAATGTAACATCATTAACAAGTTTATTAAAATTATAAATTTCTAACTTACTTACTTAATTAGGTACCTATGTATAACTAATTGTGTATTTGTATTTTAAATATTGACGATGAGGATTTTTTTTTAGCCAACTTCAAAAAGGGGAAGTGTTCAATGTGCACATAAGAACTTGATTCATGTTTAAAAAATGGTAATGGCATTTGTCAGCATTGATTTTTGTAGCGGTGACAACATTGGAAACATTACCTTTTAAGAGTTTATATGATAGCAGATTATTATAATATTGCGCTTTGCATGTGCAACATGGACCTATGCGACAATCACGCATAGTGTGACCCACCCTAAAGTAATTATATTCATCTATACTTTTGGTGTTAAAAGTAGTAGATACAGTTGTGAACATAATGATCACCTTTGAAAAATACTTTTTAGTAGGGTTTTTTAGGGTTAGTATTGCTCTCGTAAGTTAAACCAAAACAGACTTAGTGGTTATGAGATGAGTATGATACCTAGGATGGAAGTTGTAGGTTTTGAAGAATATAAGGGATTTATTACTCGCGAAAAAACGACAGCAAGTTATTGCTTCAATAATATTAGAGAATAAGAAATTTAAAAAATGTTGCAAATTGGTATATGATCTAACGCTCCATGATACTCTTTTCACTTCATAAGTGTGTGATTATCAAGTTTGGAACTCATTATATGGATAATAAGAATATCCCATTCATGTGTAGACTGTCCGAGGCTGAAAAAAGGGTGTAAGGTTTTTTCATGTGATACCAAGAAGCGTAACGATTTGTAAGACTCAAATGTGATTTCCTGTACGTTCAACAATAAATTTAAATGGTGACTTATATTCACTAAAGTTTCATTATCGAACCGATTCCACAAAATAATCCAAGCATTTTTGTAACATGCCTTGGAGACTTCTAGGCCAGAAATAATGCGCGCTAAATCACCCGCCAGATAAGATATAAGGTAATGAAATTTATAAGACAGAGCGATGCGATTGTTGGCGTGAACATCTATATTTTGTTTCCTAATCGACGATAGATGTTGATGTCTATGGGTTATAACATTCACTTACCATCAAGTTATAAAAAATAAAATTTAAACTAATAAATGCATTAGGACGGCAGACAAATATACTAAAATTACAATTAAAAAAAAACTCCTAACAAAAATTTCATCATTTCTTCGACCTTATTGATAAGAACCTTGTTCACCTTGAAACCTTGTTCACCAAATAGAATTTAACATTTATGATTTTAACATTTATAATTTAACATTTAAAATATAATTTAAGAATGGTATTAGAAATGGCGGCTCACCGTCACTCGACCGTCGACATGCACAGTACCGAAAAGAAAACTCGCTAATAAGTGTATATTGTGTTATTATAACATTATTAATGGGAAAATATTTCAAAAGAATTGTATATTTGCATAATATCCAATTTTTTTTTTTAAATATTTTGCATTAGCTAAATTAAATTTAAAATAATATATATAGCTAGCGACCCGCTGCCGTTATTTACACCGATGATTCATTAAAGATCATTTATTTTATCTTATTATTACGAGTATTTCTATTTTAATACTATCTCTAAATTTCGGATAACATTTAGTGTAGATATTACTCTCAATTTGTTCTGAGATTAGTTTGGACGGAGAGACAAACGAAAATTATAAAAATGGTTACTCATATCTTAATAGCATGTAAATATTTTATACAAAAATATTAACAATCAAAATCAACAATAATTATGAAAATAAACTCTCAGAAAACGTCGTTACTCATGAATTAGCGAAACTGGACTGAATTTTATTGTAGTTTTTGGCATTTCATGAAAAAATATTGCAATTAGGACTAAAGTTTTTTTATAGGAGAGCGGGCAAACGAGCATATAGCTCACCTAATGGTACGACACTACTGCCGCCTATGAACAATTGTAATACCAGGGGAATTGAAGATACGTTGCCAGCCTTTTAAAAAAGAGTAGGCTCTTTTCTTGAAGGTCCCTAAGTCGTATCGCTCCGGAAAAATTTCTCGTGAGTCGATTCCACAAGAAGGTTGTGCGAACAAAAGAACTTTTTTTAAATCGCACTGTGGTGAACAGCTATTCATCTAGATGGTATGGATGGTATCGCGAGTTTTCTCGCAATGTGCGATGGTGAAATTGTGCGGTTGCAATTTGTCAGAACAATTCCTCATAGCGAACACCGTAGTAAATGCGATAAAATACGTAATGAGATGCAACAACTTCTTCCAGTGCCAGTAAGTCAAGCCGATCGGAAAGAGCTCGATCGCCGTCGATTCGAACGGATCTGCGCCAGATGCAATCAAATAGAAAGAACTGGCACAGGGTATCCCCAGCTCTTCAGTCTTCCCTGCACCTTGTATTTACAAGTTTTTGCAGGGGGTTGTTGGTATGAAATACAGTCCCACTCTGTTGAGCACGCCAAGTTATTTAGAGGCCAATTAGGCCTTCCCTTCCAAGTGACCACGAAACTGGCTAAGGCAACAACGGGAGTGCCTAGAAACTGAGGAGATACGACAAAGGGATTCTTTTTAGTGGTTAACGAGCAAAACTATGTCTTTTAGGAATTGAACTGGACTGGATATATACTAGAACAAGTTTATTCCGGTACTCGGTGACGTTTTCCCGAGAAACATTGCTGTAGGCCGCATAGCAATGAATGTTTCCGGCTTGCAACATATATTGCAACATACATATATTGATTTTATAGCGTTGGTACATTGCATAGCACGCAGCCCAGAGCACGCAGATTTGTGTAATACTAGCGTTAATGGGCGTGTAATCGGAGCACGCACCGTCTACTACGACCTTGATGCTCCGATCTGCTAGAAAACTGTTGATCTAATTGCACAATTTTTCGGGAAACCCATAAGAAGCAAAAATTATTAAAAATTATAGAACGTCCGAAAAACGAATATCGCAAAGTATTTTTTGTTATTTTGTGTCGCAAAGTTTTTACCGGCACGTATGAGTATAGATAGCGACAATATGCTAGCGAGAGGTGAAGTTTAAATCCTTATGATAATTGCCGCTATCATGTCTATTCACTCTACTTCCCTAAATAATATTTGAGCAGTTGCAAAATTATAAACGAAGAACTGCCCAATAGCATCACGCTAAACAATTTCACTCGATCAACATTTAGAATCCCCATTCGACTTTGCAATTCATCAAATCGGATTGCAAAATCAATCGGTAGATTAAATAAATTTAAATCTATTCGATTTAAATTTCTTCAATCGAATAGATTTAAATTTATTTATCTTAACGTTAATTCGGCTAACCAAATTTAAGATAGCAATTCCTTCGAAACAATATTCGTCTAAAGTTCTTAAATTTGGTAATCTCTTTCTTTACAGAGCTACGCTTGTCCATAAAATCCTTTAAAAGTTGAGTATTCATTTTGCATGTTTCGCTCCCATAATCTTTTTCCATCGTGAAAAAAAATAAATCTATCTAAATTAAATATCTATTTATTTATCATAAAACACAAAAAATATTGATACCTATGTCCGTTACGAGGGCACTGAAAATTTCGGGAATCAAAGAAGTGACACAACATTACTATTTAAAAATTTATTTATTGCTTTTCGAAGTATTTTCCGCGAAATTTAACACATTTTTCCATACGATGGAACCAATCATTGAAGCAACCATTCCATTCGGAAGTTGCGGACTCCAAAATTGCCGTTTTGCAGGCCGTGCAGTGGTGGTTAAGAATATCCACTACCCCATAACTTCCCGTGGGTGTCGTAAAAGGCGACAGAGGGAAACAGGCAGGAGATGGGCAGCAGCATCTTCCTGATAACAACAATTTTACGAAAAAAAACTGCGGTTGCCAACCCTCTCGCCAAGCGTGGCAACTATGGCAATATATGAACAATTACACAAATAGACGGCCCTCAGTCCCCGGCGGCCCCGCTATTCCTGGCTATGGTGGTGACCATGGTAATGGCGGGGTAGGGGGAGCTAATAATCTCCGGTGGAGATTCGGTTGCCAACTACGACGACTCGGCCTGGCAACATTTAACGCACGCACCCTGAGGACTGACGAGAAGATCCTGGAGATGGAAGAAGAGATAGACAAGTTGCGCTGGAATATTATAGGATTATCCGAGGTCCGAAGAGAGGGGGAGGACACGGTGATTCTCGAATCCGGCAACTTGTTCCATCACCGGGAGGGCGACCATCTGTCCCAAGGAGGTGTCGGATTTATCGTCCACAAGTCTCTCGTCAACAACGTTGTAAAGTTTGGAAGTGTGTCGTCAAGGGCCGCGTACCTGATACTCAGAATCAGGCGCACCAACCTCGGCAGATCCCGATGAGGAGGTGGAGGAAATGTATGAGGATATTTCCAAAGCCATGCATTCCTACAAAACCCACTACACGGTGTTGATGGGAGACTTCAACGCAAAACTAGGCAAAAGATAATACGGTGAGCTGAAGTTTGGGAAATTTAGAGTAGGGCAACTGAATCGAAGGGGCCAGCAGCTGGCCGACT